CTTCATATAGGTTAGCAATCTTTGATTTGGTCGTTTTGAACATTTCGATGCAGGATCGCAGAGGTTTGTTCTGGAGTTGAGTCAGATTCCATAGGTCGGCTTCAGACGTCCTATTTATGATTAATATTGAGTACTGTTTGAGGAATGCAGCTGCAATTTGATCAAAATTGTCGATCGAATTACCTTCGAGACTCGTGAACCATTCTAAGGCGTGGCCTACAAGGTTTTCTGCGAAGAAACGACAGTGTCCTGCTTCGCTTTCCTCATCAGTCAGATATGCTCTCGTTATGGCTAAGCGGAAAGCTCTCAGGTTAGCTTTAGGGTCGGTCGTACCATCATATTCTGGGAAGCGGAGCTTCCCGGCGTAGCGTATACGGAAGTGAGCGATTCTATCCGTGAACGGAGTTCGTCTCGTCTCTTCTATCACGCGATCTATGTCGGGAGCGTAGCTCACCGCCATGTGCACCTTAGAGTGCATTTGGGCGGGCATTTGGTTTCGTATCCACATGTATCTGGGTGGCGAGTAGCCTCGTGGTAACAGTGGTGGACATGGTTCCTAGGAAAGGCAGTTGTGATTCGCGCCTCTGCTCCCGCGGATGCGTTTCCTAGAGAGGAGGGTACTGGAGCAGATGAGTGCGAATGCGACCTGTCGGTTTATGCGAGGAGTTACCTCTATTCCTGTGAAGTCGAGATGAGTTCGGGGAGTTGACTCCGAGAGAGTAGCGCCACTAGGGCGAACGGAGGTCGATACGGGATCGGGGGTTATCTGGGGGGTTGCTCCACTTCGGATAATGCGTTGGTGAGCCCGTGCTCCTGTTGTTCCATTCGCGCGACTGAGATTCGGTTTAGGATCTCTTGTGTTTGGCTTCTTTCAACCAACATTAAGATCATTTTGCGGAGCTCAGCTAGCTCGTGAGCGGATCGCCTGGCGATCTGCTCAGTGAGGCTGATTTGATTGTGCGGTGGTCGTTCGATCTGATTGGGAGATCGCAACGCGTTGCGATTCTCTCTTCCCTCGACCTGAGAGGGTGAAGGAGGTTGCTCTCGACTGGATGAGGCCGATTGTTGAGGTAGATTTTCCGTGTTATTTTCATGGAAGTTTGCGATTTGGATTTCTGAGGGGAGATCCGTAGGGGGACGTTACTCCTGGTTGACGATGTTTGAGGTCTGAGCCAAGGAGTCAGATCTCATGGAATCGGTGGATTTGGGATCCATTTTCGTTGTTTCGAAACGGAGGTGTTAGCTTCGGAGTAAGAAAAATCTATTTCTTCCCCACAGACGGCGCCAAAATGTGGGTGATAAAATCCACACTAGAAATTTGTTCTTAGATTTATGGGTAAAGAGGGCTAGATTTTCAATGATGGTTTGAGAGGTGAATTGCCAAAAGAACGAATGGATTTATTGATGTGAATCAACAGTTTACAAGTGAGAAGTATGAAAATACAAATGCTTGTAAGTATTAGGTCAAATAGTATGTAGGCGATCCCCTTTCCAAGTCGTCCTTCTTCTCTTTATATAGGTCTTCAAGCTAGGTCAGCTACCTCTGAAATCCACGTCGCCGTTCCTAGGAATCAGGTATGTTCCGAAAATATAGTTGACCTAATCAATCATTCTTATCAGGTCGCATCGCTCCTCTTCTCTCATACTAGGCTAGGCTTGTTGTGATGAAGGCCCATTAATATTTTGCTGATGGATTTGCAGGTGCGAAATCCAGGTCCAACACCAGTCACCACTTTTTCTCAAACTAGTTGCCGTTTTTTGTTTTCCAATTAAAACTTGGTCGCTTGATTGTGTTGCTAACGACGACACAGTAACGAACACATTTGGGGTTCTTCCTCTATTTAACTTTAGAGGTTCACCCATTCTTCTTTATCTCTTTGTTCTCTTTAATGCTTTGTATCCCTCACTCACTTTAACATAAGCACAAAGAGAACCTTGTTCTCTCATTCTCTCAAGTCTTTGGTTAGTTTCTTGTTTTAACACAAAGACATAAGCGTTTAGTAAGAAAGAAGAGAGAAAACATTAATTGTCTACATTTTGTTTATTGGATCAAAGGATAGTTTTCTTACAAGACACACACATAGATATAGTGGTTTTTCTACTTACCACACACACTTGCACCCATACTTCTACTTAGACCTAAACCTTACTTCTAGACATCATTACACTACGGTAAATCCAAGCTTACAAGCAAGGATTACCAACAACTCTTACACAACTACAACAACTATTATACTTAGTCCTTAGCTATGCTTTGTAGACTAACAACAACACTCTTTCTCTTTTGGGCCTAACTTAACTAATTGCCGAATACTAACATTATTACAAAACACACAAAGCCCAACTCTTTCTTCTTGTTGCAAAATATATCTACTTGTGTCTTTTTTCTTGTGTCGTTGACTTCTCTTCACGATATCTTCTTCTTCCTTCAATCACGAGCTTTTGCTTCTTTTTCTTGTTGTTCTCTTTGAAACTTTCTTTGTGCAGGTTCAAACAAGGAAGTCAACTTCAACACGAACAAGTAGATATATTTATGTCAAACACTCATACTATTTGTCTTAAAAATCCATCTGTATAAAAATGTTTAATAACACTAAATTTCGTTGCTCTTGAAAGATTAGTTATGTGATTTTGTTTGCGACCATGCATTATTTGTTATATACTTATATGTCCGGTAAAAATTTGTTAAGTTAGAGAAAATTGCAAAAATACTTGTTAACTTTCACTTTTATACATTTAATATACGAAAATACTATAGTATCATTCACCTCTTGAAAAACCCTCTAATATAATTTCTAACGTCAACAAACTGTATAACACAAAGTATAGATTACGAACAACATTGTTTTGAACAAAAAAAGAATTAAAACAACATATATAACAAAGAGAGAATCCACTCCTTAATTTTACTGATTTATACACATAAACATTACATATGTGTAAGGATTTTGGATGAAATTACAAACAAATATATCACACGAACATCACCTCTACTCTCACCACGACCGCTACTACAGCCTACAGTCGTCTTTCTCATTGCAGTGATAGTAACTATTGAAAGGTTTATATTCCACAAAGAGGACTCCGTCAAGAAGATTTACTATCTCCGTATTTTATGTATGGTGGCCCTTATTGTTTATATAAGCAAGGCATAGAGAGATAAGACGATGGCCGATTTCAAAAGGCTAGAGCTAATCTTCTATAACTCATTTCTTATTTGCATATGATAGTTTATTTTCGTACAAAACTTCAAATATCTAATGCACAATAATTATGGACTGTCTAAAACAATATATATGAGATATTTCTGGCTAACATATAAACTATTTTAAATCATTGATAACATTCTGGTAGGTAACAAAGAGGTATCGAAAGGGTCTCTAAACATAGTTCACGACAGAGAAAAATGGAAACCTACCTTAGAGATTACTTGTGAGTGATCGTATATCCGTCAGACATATTCGTTGGGGGTGTGCCAATTAACCCCACGTTTAGTTGTTTCCTGAGCACCGTATCGATCTGGTCAAACCAATCTTTCCCAGAAACATAACCTGGTGGAGAAAGACGAACAACTTTATTCTTCCTAAACTATTTTTTGTTCTTCCGATACGGATGATGCAGGGGAAGAAACCGACGATGACAATCAAACCAACATGGTTTTCTTCCATTCTTTAGCTGAAAAGTATCAGTTCGATCCATACAATATGGACACGATAATTTTCCGTGTATTGTCCACCTTGATAACATTCAATGTGCAGAGAAGTCACTAATCATCCACATTAGCACTACCCGCATATTGAAATTCTGTTTGCTCGAGTAATAAAACGTATGAACACCTTCATACCACAACTTCTCCAGCTCATGAATCAGCGGTTTCAAGAACACATCAAGCCCTCGCTTCAGATGCTTTGGCCCCGACACTAGAATACTTAAGAACATAAATTGGCTTTACATACACATATATGGAGGAAGATTGTATGGCGTCAAGATATCATGATATAGAGAATATTGTCTCCCAGACATACCGAATGGACTAAATCCATCTACACATATGCCCAGATACACATTCCTAATCTCGTTAGCAAAGTAGAATATACCGTTTGAAAGTGTTTCCACGCCTTTGCATCTGATGGGTGCATTATTTCTCCATCTATAGTTGTATGTTGTGCATGCCATCACATCTTCGCTGCAGTTCTTTCTGATTTGTATAAGCGTTTCAATCTATCTTTTATTGGCAAGTACCACATCTGCTTATATGGCACTCGCGTCCTTCCCCAGTACGCTAATATCTCGGCTTCAACAAAACTGACATTCATGCAGATTTTCACCATCTCCCCAGAAAATCATGCAATAGTCAACGCATACGCGTCAATCATTTCTAATGGTAACCCAAGACTCGAAACCAATTTATGTATTTCTTAGTAACTCTCAGCCGATATATTATTCGGTGGCAAATATTTCTTAAATAGTTCTGCCCATGAATCCATGTAATTTTCACTTAAGTTATTATTAGTTTTAATTGTCATCATCCTAGATGCCAAAGATAACTTAGATTACTCTTCTCTACATCCCTCGTAGAATGGTTGATTTGTAGCATCTTACATATCATAATAGTGTTGTGCATCTACGTTGGGTTCTTCATTAATATTTTCAGCAAATGCAGCAGTAGTTTCATGAAATGCTTTTGTAACCATATTGTGATATCTATTTTCCTAGTTATACTCATAACCAAATCACTACAAAAAAAGTGTGCATCGATAGCATATTAGGATAGCACGGATTTTGCAAATGCTATTAAAGATGATATCGAGAGATTTGTAACTATGTCATAGCATTTTTTAAATGCTAAGCCCTATAATAGCAAAGCGGAAACGTAGAATCACAGTTATAACTTATAACCGCCAAAACTTACCAAATATTTCACAAAAACCGCTCAACACTTAGAGAAAATTAAAAATAAAAGCTTTTATTAATAGACAACCCTAATTTCTATCTTCTTCTTCTTCTTCATCATCGGTCTCTCCTCCTATAACTCTCTATTCCTCGATTATTCTTTTCTCCTATCTCTTACTCTCTTCCTCTGATTATGATTTTATCAATTTCGCTTCAGATTCCAGATTTATTATCTCTTTATCACCCTCGCTTTCATCCCCAGATTTATCTTCTCCTTCTTCGATTTGATAAAATCTTCAGCCTCCATCTTCGTTGAGATAGCCCTAAACCATAGATTTGATTTTGGTGGCTGAAACGTAGGTGAAACCCAAACCATCTTCGTCGCTTGGTTCTTCGTAGCTGAAAGGTTTCTCGATTCAATTGCTTAATCCTCCTCCCTCCGACTCGCCTCTTTCTCTTTCTCTCGGCTCCACATGTATGATTTTGTTAGGATTCACTAGATTTATTAGCAACTGTAGATGGATGTGGGTTAGATTGATTTAGCCATCTCAATTGGTTACCTTAGGGTTTTTAGATTTCTTTAATTTGGAAATTGGAAGCTTGAAAATCAATAAGGTACTCTTAATTAGGAGAAATCTGTTAACTGTAAGCTTGAAATCCAACAAGAGATATCTGGAGATAGAGCTCGGGGTGAGAAACTCATCAGTAGGTGATGTTTACTTATGTTCTTTAATTTGGTTTGATTTGGTTTTATCTCTTAACTTCAGATGATCCATTGAACTGTATTCCTAAAACTTTGTTCAGGCCATCTCACTGGATTTGGTGTTAAAAGGCAGTCTTTTTTCCAATTATGAAAGTTTTTTCTATTAAATTATCATATTGATTGCTAATTGTTGCAACAGGAGTTTGTACAACGGGTTGAGAGAGACTTGTTGAATACCTTGAGTGGTGGACAGTAAAAAAATTGTAAGATTACTTCAAGTGTAAGTTCTAACGCATGATGTGTATATTTGCTCCTCTGATTTAGTAACTTCACTTATTTGAACTTTTTTGTGTAGGTAAATGAACAAGCTACGAACGAGAATGAATTATGGATACTTATGTCCCCATGATTTGATGATGTCTTCTTCGACCTTCAGATTTCAGGGGAGGATTTTGGAAGGTACTTTCTTGTTACTGCTAGCCTTTTGTGTTTGATTTCTTGTTTTTTGCAGCTTGTATAAGGGTATTGCTCCACTATGGGGACGCCAGATTCCTTGTAAGTTCTGGCCTTTATGTATAGATATATAATAAACACACATATATATACAGTGGAGAATGCAAGTTGTTGAAATGCATAAGATATTCATGATATATAATATTCTGATGTTTAGTTGGGTCTTGTTTCTGTGTGTGTGTGTCTGTTATAACTTATAGCACTATGGTTCTCGTTGTGATAATAACTGAATTTGGCATGATATTTGATTGTGTAGTTTAGCATTCATGGCCAAAAAAATTGGAAAATGAAAAAACTTAAGATTTGAGATATGGAATAAAAATGATTCAACGTATGAATTCAAGATGGTTTTTAAAGAATAGATTTATTAGTTGATTGATACGTGGAAAGAGAAATAATTGCTTTGTATAAATCTTATGAAATTATTAATCCTTAAACCATTAATATATAAGATCATGACAGCATACGTTTATAACACTTACTGAAATTTATCTAATCATCTGTTATTTTGCCTACGTTTTATTCTCCTCATGAGAAACTCACTCTACCTTGAGATTAATTTACTTAGCACTAATTTCTTTTTTTTTTTGGGTCATGAAGCATAAGTAATTCTTTAAAGGCAAAGTGGTGAATATGCTGAAGTTTCCCTAGCTGGTATATTAATCTGCCTAATGCTATTTACTTAAGTTTTATTAGCTGCTTGCCCTTTTATTGAAAAGTATATTCTTACATTGTTAACTTTGCTACCTAGGGTGGATAATGACCAAGCAATCTTCCTCTTCCAAGCTCTTCTTCTATGAACTACAATTAATTGATCAGATTCTTGATGACTATAATGCACATCCTTACTAGGTTGATTGACACCATAATTTATACTACTACTCCCTGCGCTATCTCTACAACCTATCCCATGACGTAACCATACATAATAATTTGGCATAAATTTTCTATTATATAAATGCTTCTTCACCAGATTAAACTCCAAATATTTATCATTGAGGCATTTACGACGTGGGCAGAAGATTGTACCATTCTCATGAGCAAATGATTAGTTTGTCGCTTGATACATGAAACCGCGCAATCTTTCATAAAACTCTCTCGTCACATCACTGGTCGTCGGATATCTATGATTGTACATCCATCTTCGCAATGTGTATATCTCATGCTCTCCACCCAAAGACATTTTCTAAACTATAAGTTTTTTTTTTGTGAAGTGTTTTTTTTGTAAGTATATTGTTTTGGTTTTGAGTTATGATTTATGCATCTCTTATGTTTGGTATTTATATGCATATAATTTTTTTAGCTAGGGAATTGCTAGCTATATTTGTAGGGGAATTGCTAGGAATCATAGATTTACTAGGATTTTGTTAGGGATTTTCACCTACCAACAAAGTAGTTATGTTCATTTAAAATGTACTCACCAAACTCAAGAGTTACTCGTAAATCCATCGCAAATATTACTACGGATTTGGGCGTCGCTAATCCCTCACAATTTGCGATGGTCTTGCGAGGGATATATCGGTCATAGCAGATTCTTCGCAAAGCACTCAAAAATTTGCGACGGAGAGTTCCCTCCCAAGATTGCGAGATATTAGCGACATGGAGGACACTCCTTGCAAATGCCTCGCAAATCCATTGTAATATTGCTAAGAATATTTTCTCTCGCAAAGTTTCCTTGCAATTCAACTGTTTTCTTGTAGTGAATTAACAAATGATTTAAATACCGGACCAGACAACGATTCAGTATCGCCACTGGGCGACGCTAACAAGGAGAAGGACCAAGAAGGCTTGAAGATCGGAAGAGAAGTCAACACTACTTCCCCTTAGTTTTTAGATGTTTAGTATTTTATTGTTCTTAACAAATGGTTTGAATACCGAACCAGTTAACTATTCTGTATCACCACTGGATTGACGCCAACAAGGAGAAGGAACATGAAGGCTTGAAGATCAGAAGAAAAGTCGAAAGAAACATTGTGAGAAAAATAAGTGGTTCGAGAATTATTAATCACATCACATCATCAATATTTAGCCAAAAATCTGAGTTTTCGAAGCATGTGAAGCAGTATATGATTTTTATTTTTGTTGTTTGTTTGCTTGTAAGTTCGTATATGTGTTAAACATGTCAATTTTGTAAAATTATTGTTTAGGTTTAAAGGAGATTTCTTGAATTTTAACTAATGGGTTAAATCATGAAATATTTTGTGGAGTTTTGGTTGAAGAGTTAAACACGTTTGGAGATTTATGTACTTGAAAAAGACATATTTCGAGTGTGAAACTATGAATTTGAGGTTTTGGAGTTGTGATCATGTTCTTGAGAGAGACATGTGTTGTTGAGATCTTCTTGTGAAACACATGTGTTATTGTTGTTGTTGTGTAGTTTGTTTGTTAGTTTCTGCATTGCATTGATAGTTAAATAGTCTTTGACTATATTCCTGAGCATATAGAGTTGCGGTGATTCGACTTCCCAAGACGGTGCGTAAGTAGACCTAATAATAATTTTTGAGGACAATCCATACGTACGAGGTCCCGATTGCTAGATGGTTAGCTACCATGTTTCGGGACTGCCGGCACGACGATAGTCACTATTTATTTGAGCTATATTCTGTTCTAGAATATATAGAATATGATTAATTCTATTTTTTCCATTCATTCCTTTCAGGATCAGTCGTGGTCTTACAAACTCTACCGCGGATCTGGACGAATCCTTTTCTTCATTTATAATAGTTAGTACTGGACTGGCTGAAAATCAAAGTTTATCAGAAGCTTGGGCTAAAATTCCTGAAAAATTAGCTTTTTATGATTATATTGGTAATAATCCAGCAAAAGGGGGGTTATTCCGAGCAGGTTCAATGGACAATGGGGATGGAATAGCTGTTGGATGGTTGGGCCACCCTGTCTTTAGGAATAAAGAAGGGCGTGAACTTTTTGTACGCCGTATGCCTACTTTTTTTGAAACTTTTCCGGTTGTTTTGGTAGACGGAGATGGAATTGTTAGAGCCGACGTCCCGTTTAGAAGGGCAGAATCAAAATATAGTGTCGAACAAGTAGGTGTAACTGTTGAGTTTTATGGTGGTGAACTCAATGGAGTGAGTTATAGTGATCCCGCAACTGTGAAAAAATATGCTAGACGGGCTCAATTGGGTGAGATTTTTGAATTAGATCGTGCGACTTTGAAATCCGATGGTGTTTTTCGTAGCAGCCCAAGAGGTTGGTTTACGTTTGGACATGCTTTGTTTGCTCTACTTTTCTTCTTTGGACACATTTGGCATGGTGCTAGAACCCTCTTCAGAGATGTTTTTGCTGGTATTGATCCAGATTTGGATGCTCAAGTGAAATTTGGGGCATTCCAAAAACTTGGAGATCCAACTACAAAACGACAAGCAGTCTGATGCAACCTTGCTTTTTTTCTTCTAGTTTCTGTTTATTATTTTATTTAATAGGTAGGGTACTGTAGGAATCTTGATTTAAATCGCTGCCGTTTCTTTGAAGGTTTAAAATCCATTTCAATTTGAAATTGAAATGCTTTTTCTATTTTTTTTCTAGAATGTCTAATATCTTTTTTACATCTTCTACGTGAAAATGTTCTATTTTGATAAGGTCTTCTTGACTGTTATTCAAAAGGTCCAATAATGTATGTATATTGGACTTTTTGAGACAATTGTAGATTCTGGGAGGCAATTCTAATTGGTCAATAAAAATATATTGAAAGGCTAGTTCTTTTGTTTTTTTTTCTTAGGTTAACTAATCTATTATGAAAAGGAAAAAAAGGTAAAGTAACTTGATGCTGATTGTTCTCTAAATAGAACGTTTCTTCTTCTACATGTAGAAAAGGAATAAATAAATTAATCAAATTCCGGGAGGCTTCATGAAGTGCTTCTTTAGGAGTTAAACTTCCATTTGTCCATATTTCTAGAAAAAGAATCTCTTGTTTTTCATTCCCATTCCCATAAGAATATAGTTACAAGAATGAAGAAAATGGTGAAGAGATCATTAAATAAATAAAAAGATATTAGACATTCGAAGTATATTGATTTTTCCAATAGCATTGATTACTCTAATCGATATGAATCGCTATTGGTTTAATAATACTAATGGAAATCATTTAAAAACGGAATATATATTTATCTTTCGAATTAATATATTGTAGGAAAACGTTGTTTAATTGCTAATTCGTGTAGCCGAAGTGGCTATGAATGTAGAATTACGTTGGGTGTGTTGTGGAAAATGTTCGAGATCACAGACCATTAGGATTGTTATTGCATGCATGTTAGTTTAGTGTTGTTATTGTTTCCGCTTGCGCATAATCATTGTATTCTCGAATTGTTTGTTTGATTGCTTATTGCATGTGTGTGTTTATTGTTTTGGGGGGGGGGGTAATTTTGGGGTTGTTCAATTTCCGAGTAGGGGAACCGGGCTAACTGAGTTACTAGCACTTATGAGTATGCTATTTTTTTTTGTTGCAGGTAACCATAGTTGTGGATGTCGGATTCACACACTCAAGTATTTATTTATTTGTGAGATAAAGCTCTCAAGATCAAAATACAAGACACACAATGTTTATCAAGTAGTATGAAAATGTATGCAAAATGTAGAGAGAAAATAGTATATTGACTTTGTATCAAGATTGTTGTGAAAAGTCCGAGCAAATTAAAGGGATCCAAGAGTATAATCTTGCAGAATACAATCACAAGGTTGTTAAGCCGCAATCTAGAGAGAACACCAAAGATGCTTCTTCTGAGCTTGAGCTCGAGGATTTGTCGTGAATGTTTGTTGCTGTAAGGTGGAATCTAATTTTATGAAGAACGAACTCAATACTTAGATTCCACCGAAGTAAACTAATTTTTTCCCGAAAGTTAGAACTCCGAAAAATCTCGGCTAGAATGAAATCTGTTTTAATTTGTTCCTTTCTTACAGCCGAAGAGATGCAAATACAAATGTAACAATTTAGAAACTAGTTACTAGAAAGCTTATTTTGTGTCCTATGCGATCAATCTGAAAATCAAAGATGGGAAATACTAAAAAATGAGATGGTCGACCAGAGCCGGCCCTTGGGCCAAGCTGGTCAAGCATTGGCTTGAGGCCGATAATAATAACATTAAATTTCGGCCACATTTAGTTAAAAGTTCCTTTAATCCAGTGGTTTGCATACACTTTAAATGATACACTTTAGTCCAGTGGTTTTCATTTTTTATTTTTTTTGTGATAACAGTTCAATAAGAAAAAATTATACGCAGCCCTTTTTTTTTTTTGGCTTATAGCCTTATAAAGGTTAGCGCCGGCTCTGTGGTCGACATCAAGATAATTGTGTTGTCGTTGATTTCTCGTCGTATATATATGTGAAATGGTCATCATTTAAATATGGGTGATTTACATGTTTAGGCACTTTTCATGAAAGTTCTTACACTTTAGACACTTCTGAGAGAGAGGACACTTTTCCAACTCTTTGAGTGAAAGTATGACCAATTTGCCCCTGAATAATAAGGAAGGAAGAAAACCAACGTTTGAGTTTAGTTTGTTGTCAGTTACAAAAGAACAAACACGTGGCATATGATGAGTAGTTAAGATCTGATAAGATGAAATACACATTTTTTTTTTCCATTTTTTTTTCCTTCTTCGCAGGCCTCTTCTTTTTCTCTCTCTAATTATCTTTCTCTCTTCATCTTTACTTTCTTTCTCTCTTTCCTTGCAAAATCAAACATGAAAGAGTTTGGATTTTGTGAGTGTTGAGTGTGTGTGGTAATATAGTGTGTGTGAAGATCTTGTTGAGTATGTGTGGTGAGGGCAACAATGGAGTTTGTGTACACAACATCAACCAATTAAGAAAAAGGATCAAAGCATTGTCCAAGAGATGTAATTACGAAAATTCAAAATCAAAGTAACAGTTCATATTAGCGAACAGAATTTTAAGTTTTGTTGAATTTTGTAAATATCTTATTCATATTAGCGAAATTGTGTTTGTGAAGACAATTGCAAATCTGAACTCCCTCTTCCCTTACTCTCCTTTGTTTCAGATCTGTTGCAAGAAGACGACGAGAGAGGCGGTGATGACGTTGCACGTTTCTCTCGAAGCAGCTCCATTAATCGAAAACCAGTTGTGATTGATTCCATTTTCGTCATGAATGAAGCTTTATTGTTTATTTTTTGGTCACTGTTACAGTTTTGATGTGAATTGCTCAAATTTGTTTCTTTAGTTATTTTTTGTTAACTTTGTTTTTTCTTTGTTCATTAGCTAGAATAACATGGAAGTAATCAATTCTTTCGATTAATTCTAGCTTTTTGAACACGAGATTCTAATAAGCAAATCTTCTTTCTCTTTCTCAAGCATAAATCTGAAATCACCAATCTAGAATGAATGCGAATTGATTACATCCACGAAACTAAATCAATCGGATACTAATTTGGTCATTCAAATGTAGTTGGACAACATGGTATAAGTAGACGTGGAAGAAATCAAACTTTTGATTTAAGATATACTATTTAAGCTTGAATGCTAGAGCTTTAGATGATTCTATGACCAAATTATGTTATTGATTTAGCTCTGTTGTTAATGCTACTCAACGTTGACGGTTTGGTATTAAGCTTGTGAAATAGTAATTTGATTTATCCATTTGTGTAGAGATTATTGGTCATCATAAAATTTCATATCTTACATAGTTGCATCTAAAGATTAATTATGCAGCTAATACCTAGACAAAGAGCTCTCACCAAAGTTGACCATAAAGTTGGAGTTGTATGGATAATTATTATTTTTTTTTTATAAATCTTATCGGCTGATCCGGTTAGCTCCGGTAGAAACACATCCCGAAAGGCCACCACACTTACAATTGTCTATTTACTTAATCATAGCCAAAATTGTTTATGGATTTCGTTAGACAGAGTCGACCATTTATTGTTGCCCACGAAGTTCTGTCCACCCGATTATTATAAAACATTTAGTCATTTTAAAACATTTAGAAATTCTTAAAAAACTATACTAAACAGTAAATGTAAAATCAAAATCTTTAACAATACATTAGATATTCTAAACCCTACCCCCTACCTATTAAACCCAAACCGATAATTTTTTTTTTAAATATATGACACTAAACCCTACCCCCTACCTAGTAAACCCAAACTGATATCTAACTTCGACAATAATATAAACTTAAAACGAAATGAAAATTTGGTTTAAAGGTTTAACACTAAAACCCCTTACCTACTAAACCCAAACCGATATTTCACTTTTAAAAAAATATATAACACTAAACCTTACCACCTACCTACTATACACAAACCGATATTTAACTTTTTTTTAATATACAACACTAAACCCTATTCCCTACCTACTATACCCAAACCGATATCTAACTTTGTTAACAATATAAACTCAAACCGATATTTAACTCCTTTTAAATATATAACACTAAACCCTACTCCCTACCTACTAAACCCAAACCGATATTTAACTTCTTTTAAATATATAACACTAAACCCTATCCCTACCTAGTAAACCAAACGGATATCTAACTTCGTTAACAATATAAACCCAAACCGATATTTAACTCCTTTTAAATATATAACACTAAACTCTAGATGTTTAGGGTGTCCATTTGTCTTTTGACCATTGGTTCACTTGTACATGGATACTACTTAACTAATAAAACTGTACTTTGTTTTAATTCTTTTTTCAATGTAGATAACTATACACTAGATAATACTTAGTAAACCCAAGCAATAACCATAACTACTACTTAACTAATAAAACTGTACTTTGTTTTAATTCTTTTTTCAATGTAGATAACTATACCCTAGATAATACTTAGTAAACCCAAGCATCAGAGGAAACAATTAATCATACACTCTTTCAGTGCCACCCTGCACGGCAGATTTGGGCGCTTTCACAAATTCCTAAGGCTATGGGAATTTTTCCCACGGAATCTAATTTTGCGAATTTAGATCACTTATTTTGGAGAATACCTTCAGAATTTGATTCATCAGCTTTTCCATGGATTATTTGGTATATTTGGAAAGCAAGAAACGAAAAGATCTTTGAAAATATAGATAAAGACCCTATAGAGGTATTACGATTAGCGGAAAAAGAGGCACAATTGTGGCAAACAGCTCAAATTGAGTTCCATAATGAAAGTCATGGTTTTGTGGACTTGGTAAATCAAACTCGAGTGAGGGATACTTCACTTGAGTCGAATTATTCTGGATACCGTTGTTTTGTGGATGGATCATGGAAAGGAAGTGATAAGTTCTCCGGTACAGGATGGTTCTGTACATCGTCAAATGGAGAGCCGCCAACCATGGGAGCTGCGAACCTCCGTAGAAGTCTATCTCCACTACATGCCGAAGTCGAGGCCCTTCTCTGGGCGATGAAGTGTATGATTGGTGCAGATAATCAAGAGGTAGCATTCTTTACAGACTGTTCAGACCTGGTGAAGATGGTGTCTTCTCCAACCGAATGGCCAGCGTTTTCAGTGTATTTGGAGGAATTTCAGAGCGACAAGGAGGAGTTTTCATCTTTTTCTTTATCTTTAATTTCTCGTAGGGCTAATGTCAAAGCGGATAAACTGGCACGAAAAGTTCGTACAGAACCGCTTCATATCACATATGTAAACAACATTCCTCAGGAATGGCTCTTTTGAGCTCAAATTAATTTCGGATGACAAAAAAAAAAAACCCAAGCAATAACCATAACTACTACTTAACTAATAAAACTGTACTTTGTTTTAATTTTTTTTTCAATGTAGATAACTATACCCTAGATAATACTTAGTAAACCCAAGCAATAACTATAACTACTACTTAACTAATAAAACTGTACTTTGATTTAATTATTTTTTCAATGTAGATAACTATACCCTAGATAATACTTAGTAAACCCAATCAATAACCATAACTACTACTTAACTAATAAAACTGTACTTTGTTTTAATTCTTTTTTCAATGTAGATAACTATACCCTAGATAATACTTAGTAAACCCAAGCAATAACCATAACTACTAGTTAACTAATAAAACTGTACTTTGTTTTAATTCTCAAAACCATATATATATATATCATAACTATTAAAAAAGTGATAATTTTACCAAACGATAAAACACATTCTCATAAAATTAAAGACATAACTGTCCACTGATGAGTGCCCAAGCAGTCATGTCCACTGATGAGTGCCCAAGCAGTCATGTCCACATGGTCATCTAGTAGCTCACATAGTCCTTTTATATCAATACACAAATTTATATATGAACGATAATCGTCAATTAAAAGAACACCGTCCATTTTTCTTTAACCAATATTCACTTGTGTATGGACACTGCCATCATTATAAAATGGATCCATATCCTATTCGTAAAATATGTTTATCCAGCTATAAAACACATTAACAATAAACAAAGACAGCGTTGCCCATTGATGTTTGTCTAAGCGATATTTGACTTCTTTAAAATATAGAAAACTAGACCATATTCATACCTACTAAATCCAAACCGATATTTAACTTCTTTAAAATATAGAAAACTAAACCCTACCAATTGATGTAGATGTTCCAATTGAGATGGACGACTTTGCTTTGTACATGTGTTCAACCAAACTTTAGATTTGAAACCGTAAACAAAAATTCAAAACTATAAAATATATTATAACCATAAAAAAAATGATAATTTTACATATTGATAATTTTACCAAGAGATAAAACACATTCACAGCAAATCAAATACACAATTATCCATTAATGAGTGTCCAACCAGTCAAGTCCACATGGTCATCTAGGTAACTAACATGGTCGTTTTATATCAATACACAAATTTATACATGGTCGTCTTCATTTGTGATGAACAAACCCAGATTTTAATAAATTATTCAACCTGGTTACAAAAATTCATAAAAAGACCAATGATCAAAAATTTCTGGTCACTGTTACAAAAAACAATTGTTGACATGAACTCCACATCAAGCTCTTCTCTTCTTGTTGGATCTGGAGGAATGCTTATCATCGCCTCTCTTTTTGATGGATTTATCAAAACCACTTGTTGGCTTCTCTTTCTTGTTATCAATTTTGGTGGAGTCAATACTGATAAGATCACTTAAAGAGATCTTAGACTTTTGCAAAGCCTCAGCTTCTTTGTCCCCAATAGCAACTTATTAAGACCACCAAAGAGGCTCGTAAAGATAAGAGTACCCACCAACACCTACAAACACAGTCTGTTACCTTTCATGAACCAAAGGAAACTTAAAGGACAACATTTACACACAGTCTTGAAGCAATGTGGCTATTAAAAAAGATCTAGATTGCAAACTGAATCACAATCTTAAGGAAACCTAGGACTCGCACTCCAATTAAGCTAATTTCTTCTCTGGTTTCAGCTTGAAATTAAAAAACAAAAATTAAATTTACCATACAGATTCAAAATTAAAAGAGATCGAAATCAAATCAAACCCAGAAAGGCAAACTCACAAAAACACCAGAAATTACATGAAAATTAAACGGGAGAAGATGAAAATTAAACCGGAGAAATCGAGAATGTTATGTGTTTTTTTTTTGTGTGGATGAATTCATCCCATACAAATACAATTTCACGAACGAAATTATAGGAACAGAAGATAGATTTAGAGAGAGAAGAGAGAAAACATTTTCTTTTTGAAAATTCATGTTAATTTTTTGTCCGTGATTTTTTTTTTTTTGTCTTATTGGATTTTTCTCTGAGATAATTTAAGAGACAAAAAGAGAAGTGATTGACTGAGTGAATCGTAACGAGAGTCGAGAGAGAGTTGTAGTTAGGGGCATAATAGAGAATTCAACAAGACGAAAGTGCCTTGCACTTTAAAAGTGTCTAAAGACACAAATAAGTTGAGGAAAGTGCCTAAATATGCAATAATTCCTTTAAATATCTGAAAAAAAACGTAAATCTGAAAATAACAAAAACCCAAAAAAAAACTCTATTGCCGTAACTTTATATAATTAACATATTTGACCCTAAAACTTCTTATCGGAGCATATCAAACTAAACCAGACCAAGCTCGCAATAAAAGGAAACAGATTTGTCGTCGGGTCGTTTTACTTAGCGGTATAGTTAGTTCATCGTTCGCTTCTCTCTTTGCACACACACTATCTTATTGGAGAAATTGCGAGTGCAATTACTTCTAGGGTTTGTGGTAATCGTCGCTGCAATGGCGAGTGTGTACATACCGGTACAGAATTCGGAAGAAGAAGTTAGGGTTGTTCTTGATCAGCTCCCTCGTGACGCTTCTGATATCCTTGATATCCTTAAAGCCGAACAAGCTCCTCTCGATCTCTGGCTCATCATCGCGGTTCGTTCTTTACACTCACTATTTAGGTCTTATTTTGGGTCTATCTGGAATTGGGTTATCGAGCTTTGTTAGAGTTTTATTTTGTGATTACTATTTCTTCTGATTTTGATTTCATCTCTAATGAAGAGGGAATACTTCAAGCAAGGAAAAATTGAACAGTTTCGACAAATATTGGAGGAAGGCTCAAGTTCTGGTACGCAAATATACGATGCTGATGCTTTTTTAGTGCTGCAATCATTCAGAATTATCGATAAGCAATTTTTGGGAACTGAAGAAAACTCATGCTTGTTTCTTTTTGGCAAGACATTGACGAGTACTATGCTGATGTTAAGTACGAGAGAATAGCAATCTTGAACGCTCTAGGTGCGTATTACAGCTACTTGGGTAAAACTGAGACAAAACACAGAGAAAAAGAGGAGCAATTCATCTTGGCAACACGATATTATAACAAAGCGTCGAGAATCGATATGCATGAGCCTTCCACTTGGGTTGGGAAAGGTACTCCCAGGTTCTTATTCGTTTTATACTCCTCTATGTTTACTAGATACAGAATCCTCAAATGTAATTTTCTGCTTACAGGTCAGCTCTTACTGGCTAAGGGTGAAATAGATAATGCACTTCAGGCATTTAAGATTGTGTTAGACACTGCCCCTGATAATGTTCCTGCTCTTCTGGGTCAGGTATAATGACTTGTGATTTCATTTTCTGTCACTTAGCTTAAACTTTGTAGGTGGTTGGATTATATATACAGAATCACAATTCTTAGCCTAAGGACAGTTATCAAATATTCTTATTTTCTTGAAGCATAATTACGGTTGCCAAGTTTCTTGGAGTGTAACTGTGCTTGAGAAAGCCTGACACTGTATTAGCCTATTATTTAGTTTTCTGAAATTAATAATTTGCTCTACCACGTATACAGGCTTCTGTAGAATTTAATCGTGGACGTTTTTCTGAGTCATTAAACCTATACAAGGTATGCTTCTTCATTTGGGCTGTAAATCTCATTTCTTTGTTTAGGTGATATAGTCTAGTCCATTTATGAAACAAATTATCATATTGATTTTCTATGTGTTGACTGTCTTAAGAGGGCCTTGCAAGTATTTCCTGGGTGTCCTGCAGCTGTGAGACTGGGAATTGGTCTTTGTCGTTATAAGTTGGGGCAACTAGATAAAGCTCGGCAAGCGTTTGATCGTGTTTTGCAGGCAAGTGGGACTGGGATGTTTATCTCATATTTCTTATGACACAGCCGACTGAATGCTTCAAACAAATACTGCTATTTACCGTATTCTATATCTGCAGCTAGATCCTGATAATGTTGAGGCTCTTGTGGCACTTGGGATCATGGATTTGCAAGCAAATGATTGTAAGTATACCTCAGTTCTAAATCTTCTGATAATGCCTGTATGCTGAAGAGATTCTATTAACTAAACTTATTTTTGGCCTTTGCTGATGATACCACATATGTATAGCTATAGGAATGAGGAAAGGAATGGACAGAATGCAGCAAGCATTTGAGATTTATCCATATTGCGCATCAGCCCTAAATTATTTGGCCAATCACTTTTTTTTCACTGGCCAGCACTTTCTTGTTGAGCAGCTGACTGAAACGGCATTAGCCGTCACAACTCATGGGCCAACAAAGTCACATTCTTTTTACAATTTAGCACGGTCATATCATAGCAAGGTTTGACATTTTTATCCCCTCTCGTATATTAATTCTTACCTAGTCTTGAGAAAAGTATGGTGAGGACCTTTGTGGTATACCCTAGTATATGTTAGGGTGAAAAAACTATAAGCTTGCCAGTGTTAAGGCAGTGGAGGAAAAAATTCAGTAAAGCCTGATTAAATATTTTATTTGAGTAGAATATATCTGATGCGTTTCTTTCTTCTATGGGATGTTATAGAAGAATGCATCTTTTCTTGTTTCCTTTTTGTAATCTTCCTTTTTGATGTCTGATGATGGTCTTGTTCTAGGGGGACTATGAAAAGGCTGGGATGTACTATATGGCAGCCATCAAAGAAACTAATAATAAGCCACAAGAATTTGTATTTCCTTACTTTGGTAACTTTTCTCCAATTTCCTACTGAATTCCCCTTAATTCTTTGTATGTTACCATCTGACTCATTCGCAATGAAGATACTGCACCTTCGTCATTTCTTTCCGTTTTAATAGTAGAATATTCGATATCAGACCATCAATATTTAATTCCAGTCTGTAAAACGTATGATTATGAACAAATTTGTGTATATCAACATCTCGTGCCTCAGTTTTCAGTATAGCTCAGTTTGGATTGATGTGCAGAGCTATCCTGTATGGTCATTTAGTTTGATTTTTTGTTGTGTTGCAGGTTTGGGTCAAGTACAACTAAAGTTGGGGGAGCTGAAAGGATCTGTATTTAACTTTGAGAAAGTATTAGAAGTCTATCCCGACAACTGTGAGACTCTGAAGGTTAAATGACTACGAGATTTTTCTTTATTGATCTTACATTCTGTATTTTATCCTTTACTTTTAAAAATGTTTCATGTGCATGTTTCTGTTCCTTCTTTAGGCTCTCGGGCACTTATACACCCAGCTTGGACAAAATGATAAGGCCCTTGAGTACATGCGAAAGGCCACAAAACTTGATCCACGTGATGCCCAGGTTAGTTTGGTTTACATAATTCTTAAGCCTGATCTTTCAAAAGGTGTTGATACTTGCATGACTTCTTTGGTTGTAATCGTTATCTTCTTTACCTTACTGTGGATCACCTTCGAGTGACACATCCACTTTTGTTACCTAAATCGTAACACGAGCACACTTAGCCTAAGTAAGGAAGAAAAAACATAGTAAGAAAACATAGGTCTGCCATATATCTTGAGAATACTTTTTGGGTTTGTTTCCCCCACAGCTCATAGGTATGGTTAAAGATCTAATAAGGATAATATCAACTTTTTACTATTGCTATTACTTTTTCCTTGATATATAGTTTTGGGTTTTGTAGGCATTTGTTGGCCTTGGTGAGCTGCTGATATCATCTGACACAGGGGCTGCACTTGACGCCTTCAAAATGGTAATTCTTGTTTAAAGTGGGATCTTGATAATTATATCTCCTGTTCAAGTTCATGATACCATATTGTACATTATCAAAGAAAGACAATTGTTTCTGAGAACCATAAACGAAAACTCCCAGGCACGGACACTCATGAAAAAGGGAGGGCAAGAGGTGCCGATAGAAGTCCTGAATGACATTGGTGCTTTACATTTTGAGAGAGAAGAATTTGAGGTTTGTAATGAGGTTGTTTCTGCATGTTTGCTTTGAATTTTGGCTATTGGTTCAACACTCTTTTTCCTTGCAGTCTGCGCTTGACAATTTTAAGGAGGCTCTGGGTGATGGAATATGGATTAGCTTCCTTGATGAAAAAGAAAATTTGGAACAAACAGGTGTATCTGTTCTAGGGTACAAGGATACGGGCATTTTCCATAGGCTGATTGAAAGTGGTCACTCTGTCGATGTACCTTGGAATAAAGTCACAACTTTGTTTAACCTGGCTAGATTACTTGAGCAGTTACACAAAACAGAAGCAGCGACTTTTCTGTATCAATTGATACTTTTCAAGGTCTATATTTCCTACTACTTTATTTTGATGTTTTTTTACTGTTTCACTTTATGATGAGTTTTCTAGTGGTAGACAACTAGATGATTTCGAGTGGTTACTTGGTTTTCACAAAAAAAAAAAAAACTGTGTTAAAAACCTTCTTTTGCAGATTTTTTTTTTCTTTTTCTTTTCATGTACTAAAAAGTAAAAAAAAATGGGAACATTGATTCGGCAGCATGACTTGCTTGGTTATAATTTACTGTTTTTTGCTCTCTTGGGAAGTTCAAAGCATTGTTTGGTACATGTGTTATATAATTTTCAGCTTTATGTTTCTTCTGTTTTTATAGTTTTTGTATACACTTACCATGTCTTACATTATCTGTTTGAAGGCTCACCCTGATATATGCTTGAAATTTTGTTTCTCTTTCAAAAATCTGATGCTGACTCTTGATTTCCGTCGACTTAATCTGACTGCCTATTTGGTGCAGTATCCTGGCTACATAGATGCTTATTTGAGGCTTGCTGCGAGTGCAAAAGCTCAGAACAATCTTCCTCTGGCCATTGAACTGGTCTACCACCATTTTTAACATTAATTTTATCTTATCTGTATCAGTTGGTTTGCTCTCTCTGACCGTGTTTTCCTACTTTTCCTATAGGTGAATGAAGCTCTGAAAGTGGACGATAAAAATCCAAATGCGTTGTCTCTGCTTGGTGAATTGGAGCTTAAGAATGATGACTGGGTTAAGGCAAAGGAAACCTTTCGAGCTGCTAATGATGCGACTGATGGGAAGGACTCATATGCTATTCTCTCTCTGGTATAGATTTTTATATCCATTTCTCTTTTGCGTTTCAGAATAAATAAGAATCATCATATTAAGTTCCTTTTGGGTTGTTCAAAGCACATTGCGTGATCATATTAATGAATCAATGTTATATGAGCACCCCACATCGAAAAATGGTTGTCCCCTGCCTTTTATATGGGTCCAATTTAATCAGCTATTGCTGCGATCTGGGCTCTCTTGTACAACACTTCAGTCAATATAACGATAGGGTTCTTTTTAATACATGTATGGAAGACCAGCCCTTCATTCTGTATGGTTCCTCTACCAGCAGCCTGGGGATGGCTGGTTGTCTAGCAGATATCTAACTACCTTTGAGTGAATTCTTCTTGATAATTTAGTGTGATGTAGCCTTAGATGATTGGAACTATTATTCTACAAGCTTTTTTTTTTTTTTTTGTGTGTGTGATGTTTCTTCCTGGAATGGTTTAGGGGAACTGGAACTATTTCGCGGCAATGCGCAATGAGAAAAGAAATCCAAAATTAGAAGCTACACATCTGGAGAAGGCCAAGGAACTCTATACTAAAGTATGATGTTTATTATTTCCTTTCTCTCTTCTCATTATTAGTATTTTGGGAATATTTCCTACTAAATGTGCTTATGGGGGGTTTTTGGGTGGAGGATGGTGGACATTTCAAATTCTTCTTTGCTCATGTACTTCTTTGTTACTATCTGAACTTTGTTAAGTATGGGTTTTGGAAATGGAATTATGTGTGTGTATTTAGTTAATTATTGAGGACAGGGAGTTTTAGGATAGCACAGTGCATTAATAATAGAGTGAGATGTAACAAGTAGGTTGCTATTAATTCAGTTATCTTCTTGATAAGATGCCTGGGGAAACCGGAACCCTTTGTTGGAATTTTCTATGCTAGTAGCATTGCATGCTTAAATAGGCGATGTTCTCTTTCCATCAACGCTGATCTTCTTACTCATTGTTGATCGTTGGGATTAACAGGTCCTGACTCAACATAATTCCAACATGTATGCTGCCAACGGTTCTGGCATTGTATTGGCAGAGAAAGGCCAATTTGATATTGCCAAAGATGTTTTTACTCAGGTCAGCTTTATTATTTACTGTTCATGGTTTTGGCTAGCTACATTCTTCAATTCATTGGAACGTTGTGAATGTTTTAGGTTCAAGAAGCTGCAAGTGGAAGTGTATTTCTTCAGATGCCTGATGTATGGGTGAATCTGGCTCATGTTTACTTTGCTCAAGGGAATTTTGCCTTAGCCGTGAAAATGGTTTGTCATTTTATATAGTTTTTTTTTTAAGTTTTCTTTTGGTTGATTTCTGCTTTTTGCTTATGTATTCTGTTCATTAATTATGTTGTTGGCAGTATCAAAACTGCTTGCGGAAGTTCTTTAACAACACAGACTCTCAAATTCTTCTTTACTTAGCCCGTACCCATTACGAGGCTGAGCAGTGGCAAGAGTGCAAAAAGACACTATTAAGGGCCATTCACTTGACTCCTTCAAATTACACATTCAGATTTGATTTGGGTGCTGTAATGCAGAAATCATCGTCTTCCACACTGCAAAAGAAAAAAAGAACAGCTGATGAGGTTAATTAAAGATCCTCCTTTTCTAAGAGACTAATATTTTACCTTGCTTACTTCTGACTCTAGCCTTGTGTATCTCTTACTTAGAATTTAGAAGATAGGCAGATATTAGCATGCATCGATTGGGAGTTTTTTGGATTATGAGATTGCTTCTACAGCTTGTGTATCTAGAACTTTTCACCATGATCCTAGCATAGTATGCTAGTCATCCTTGCTAAGAAATGGCTATCCTTTAAATCCTTAGTATGCACTACAACTGATCCTAGGATTTAATGTCTTGTTTTATGAGGAGATGTTTAGACAACATTAATTCGTCTAATGGGGACTAATTGATTTCCATCTGACAAGGAAATCTGCTTGATGACTCTGCAGGTGCGCTCAACAGTTGCAGAAGCTGAGAATGCTGTTCGTGTATTCACTCAATTGTCTGCTGCTTCAGACCTCCATGTTCATGGGTTTGATAGCAAGAAGATTCAAACCCATGTTCAGTATTGCTCGCACTTGCTGGAAGCAGCAAAAGTTCACCGTGAAGCAGCTGAGCGTGAGGAGCTGCAGAACCGACAGAGATTAGAAGTTGCTCGTCAGGCTGCTTTGGCAGAAGAAGCACGCCGTAAAGCTGAAGAACAGAGGAAATATCAGGTAACCATTTGCAGCAACAAAATTATTTTGGTGATGATGATTTTATATGGAACCTTTTCTAGACAATGATATGCATTTTTCTCTTGGACAGTTGGAGAAAAGAAAACAGGAGGAAGAGCTGAGACGCCTAAAGCAAGAAGAAGAAAAAATTCAACGTATAAAGGTAGGATGTCTTGCTTTTGATTGCAATGTCTATACAGATCAGATTTCTCAACGTTGTTGTGTAGCGTCAAGGAAAAAATTACTCTTTGGTAATAATCTTTAGGGTGTGTCCCTTTGTCAGTATCTGTCTTGAGAGATGTTTAGGATGACATGCTGATTTTGTTCTGTAATATTAATAATACCCTAGGAACAATGGAAGAGCTCCACACCTGGATCTCATAAGCGGAAAGATAGAGTGGAAGATGATGACGGGGAAGGTAAGCCCAGTGAGCGGAGAAGAAAGAAAGGCGGAAAGAGAAGAAAGAAGGACAAAAGCTCAAGGGCTCGACACTACGAGGACGATGAAGAAGAAGCTGCCACTATGGATGATCATAATGAAGTGGAAGATGAAGACGCCAACACTAATTATAACAGGGAAGATGAGATGACAAATCAAGAAGCTGAGGAACCTGTGGATGATGATGCTCATGATCTTCTTGCTGCTGCTGGGCTCGAAGATCCTGATGTTTATGATGATGAGGTAATACATAAACTGCAATCCAAATTATGGAACTACACAAACACAAAAGACAATGTTTTCACAGTAAGTCTATTTGGTGGGTACAGGTACCTGCTTCGGGGGTAAGACGAAGAAGGGCGCTATCATCATCAGATGAAGAAGGTGAATTGATGGAGGAGAGTCAGCCAAATCAAAGCCCCACCAGAGAGAAAGAAGAGAGCAATGGGGAAGGAGAAGATGCTAACGTGGAGGAAGAAGACTAGAAGAGGAAGAGGAAGAGGCCAATTGAGATCGTTCATACATAACAACAGATTTCTCTTGTGTGTTTGTAACTTTAGTGACAAAGATATTCCATTGATTCAATTTTTCTAGAAGTCAGAGTGTGAGGACAAAAATTCATTCACAGGCCAAGGATAATCAGTTTGAACTTTGGGTTATTTGGATTGAGCCTTGTTTTTATTTGCTATTGTTAATGGAAAAGTAATCTTTTTTCTTTTGGTTACAACAGCTTGACTCATAGTGAATGTAATAGAGAGAAGAAATATAAAAGCAAAATAGTTAACTAAAAACTAAATAAAGAAATAAAAAATACAGAAGAGTGTTGTCAGAAGGAAGTGGAAGAGTCAGAAACGTGGGTGTGTGTGGTCTTGAAGGATTTGGTACTGTTTCTGCAGTTTCTTCTGTTCCCTTTTACTTTAAATTTTTGTGTTTTTAGGTTTCATGTTTGCTCTCTCTCTGTAGGATCTCTTTCAACTTTTCAGAACATTTTGACTATAATTATTTTATAAACAAAATTACAACACACAAAGTATAATTTGCTTTGTGTCATGTGTGTGTGTGAGTGAGAGAGAGATTGCAAAATCTAAAGAAGTAATAATAATAATAATTCAGTTTGATGAGAATGAGAAGTCGTCTTTCTCTCTCACTGAGTCAGAGCAGAAAGCTTTTTGATTGGGTGTTTGGCTTTTTCAGACCTGACCAAACTCAGTCAGGGAACAGAACTCAACTCAACTCAATTGCAAAACCTGTCTTTTTTTCTCTTTTCTTATTTTCTTTATCATTTTTTCTATATTTTTCATTTATCTTTTTAACACACATTTAAGAAAAAGATATTTACTGTTTTAACCAAAACAAAGAAACCATTTACTATCCACAGTAAATAGGTTTAATGAACACGTTTCTGACGAAAATCTATCTATCTATCTATCAAGAATAATTTATGATAGAAACATTGGTTACATCTCACATCGGTATAGATAATTTTAGTTAGCAACAGAACTATTAACAACAAAAGTTTTTATCGCTATTCACATGTGTTCATAGCTTTCTTTAGACAAGCATTAGTTTTTTGGACAAGAGATGAACATAAATAATTTAAACATTAAAATCAATCTAATATAACTAGTTTACACAAGTTAAAATATTTTATGCTAATATAATGCATGGAAAACAAATTAAAAAAATCCTAATTAATTAAACAAAAAAAAAAGTGAGAGAATTTGCTTGCATTACCAACTTAACAAGAAACAGAAGGTTAAGAACAAAAGATGATCAAATAAAGAGTGAAGTAGAAACAGAAGACTTAGAAGAAGGCCATTCATCAAGAAACCTATAAAACCTCTTGCTACCTTGCTCTTGTTCATCATCATCTCTTTGTTTCAGCTTCTCCTCAAGCATCAATGGCCTCTCACAAGTCCCCAAGTCAGTTCCAAGGATGAAGCAATGTCGATCCGGCTGCTTCTCCTCGTTAGAAAATTTGTTGATGCCCCTACATGAGCCATCATCATTATCTTCCATTGCTGAGCCAGAGCAGCTTTTGATTGACCCGGAAGGTTCTATGGAGAAGAAATCATCCATGTATCCACTTCTTCTTCTTCTTCTACTTACACTTTAAAATGTTTCAAAGATAGAAAGAGTTAATCTTTGTGTTGTCATTAGAATAAAACAGAGGAGGAAGGTGTGTTTAAAACCTGGAAGAAGATAGAGAAGAGTCGAGAAAGAGATTTGGTGTGAATTGAGTAGGAGGAGGAAGAGGAAGAGGCTTTCTTGAGGAAGAACGGTTCTTGCCTCTATGCATATGCCTCTCACAGTACTTAGAGTCAGGATAAGCTTCTTTGGAGCATCTCCATTTCTTGCCATCAGTTCTTCTACATCTTCCTGGCTCTGCATCTATCTTTCTTCCCATTCCCATCTCATACACATTCCACCCAACTGCAAAAGTCAAATTCTTTTACATCATCACCAAACCCTAAAGATAACCATCATAGAGCTCAAAAGCAAAGAAGATAAAGTTTGCTTACAGTGTGGAGAAAGAGTGGGAGAGAAGAAGCTTGAAGAGGAAGAGGAAGAAGAAGAAGAGAAGAGAAAGGGTCTTTTGATGAGGAAGAGAAGATGAGGTGGAACTGGAACATTTGAGGCTAAGTACTTGAACACAAGAGCTTGGTTTTCAAGCTCTTCCCATTGTGATTCTGTGAATGGAATCCTAGTAGCCATGAAGAGAGGAAGAGAGAGAGAAGAGAGAGATGAAGAAGAAGAAGAAGAAGAAAGATTAAAGATTAAAGATTGGGATTGTATTGGAAAATTGAAAGTGTAAGAGAGTAGTAGGTATGTTTTTATTGATAAAGTGTCCATTGGTCACCTGCAGTCTGCAGAATCTCTGTGCTTCATGTCCTCTTCTTGTTTATTATTCCTTTTTAAAAAAAATTTCTTCTGAGCTTTAGTTTTGGTTTTATCTTAAGCACCATTTCAGGTTTTTCTTTCTTAAAAGCTAGATTTTGTGACAAGGGGCATAGATAACTTATGTTTAATTTATTATGTTATTATATTCAGAAGTTTGTAACTTTCGTTTTTGTTTAGAAAAACTTTTTATTGAAAAACGAGAAAAATTGGTAACCGAAAAGAGAATCTAACAAGTCATGAAAACTAAGCGGCAAATGGTGTGTACAAATTATTAAATTAATTACAAATCAGCTCTAGTATTGATATCTCTTTGTGTTATAACTTATATCTCAAACTTTATAATACATAGGTGAGAAAGAAAAAACAATTTAAAAAATTACTTATTTGTGAAAGTAGTCTTGAATTTAACCCTACAATGTTTAAGATGTTTTTTAGCATTTATTTTCGATCCTAAATATACTCCCTCTGTTTCACATAGAATGTCATTTTAGAGTTTTGCACACAGATTAAGAAAACATTAAATTTTTTGTTTTTTCTAAACAAAAACATCATTAACTATATACCTAAACATAATCTGTCCAATAGTAAAACAATCTGCAGAATACTAATAGTCATAAAACATAAAAAATCATTAAATTTTGCATTGAAAACCTAAAACGACACTCTTTGTGAAACAAAAATAAAACTTTAAAACGACACTCTTTATGAAACGGAGGTAGTAGTAAGTAAATAGCCAAGTGAAAGTATTTATGTCCCTCTTCTATTCTTTTTAATGTTTTAACTAAAAAAAAAACATGTAAGCATATTGCAACTATTACAAAGATTATTATAAAAGAGTAACCAAACAGTCCTAGGCCTCGACATTCGGTTGGTTCGGGTTATACGGGTCTGTTTAATCGAATTTTCGGTTTATTCGGGTTAATTGAAATGCCAACAAATTAAACTGAATAAAATTTTGGTTCGGATTGGTTCGGATGTCGGTTTATTTAGTTCGGTTTCATGGTTTAAAATCAATTCTCAATTGAACCAATTTTTTATTCATTTCGGTTAATTCGGTTCATTTTTCCGGTTTAGTTGTTGAATATAAACTTTTTTACATTATCAAAAATCTAAGCCCAATACAAATTTAATAAACATTCTCTTGATCTATTCATTATAGTATTAGAAAATAAAATTAAAGAAGCCAAATTGTAATAAGTTTATAAATGATTTATACCAAATCACTATTGTTGTGTGTCAATTAATGAAACCATATCGTGTAATGTAACTAGTCATCTTTTGTTAGAAAGACGACCCGTAGCTCCAACACATCGACAGTTATAAAATTAAGTGTACACGGTCCACTTGTGTTAAAAACACTATACATGAATAATAAATTGTTTTGAATAAAAAATATGTATGAGAAAAATTATAAGAAAAAAGAAGAGAGAGGGAAAATAATGAGTGAGTCTGCAAACTCTGAAAACTTCTGCACTCTCTGCGACTCTTCCCTTTCACAGCTCTCACTCACTCCCATACACACCCATCACTCATGCCACATCTCTTTCTCTCTCTCTTATTTTTGTTTTATTTTAAATTTTTCTAAATTACTTTCTACTATTTCTCAAAAGAAAAAAAATATGATTATTTTACTTATCAATATTTAACTTTGTTCATGCATATGTAAATAATTCATTTGGACTATGAAATGAAGTTAGACCCAGTGCATTAACATATGGTGGGGTTTGTGAAAACCCCTCAGAAACTTAAGTTGTATAAAGGTTTTCTTATTTATCAAAGTGTTAAGGCAAGGCCTTATATACATACGATTAAACCTTGTTACAACAATGTAATTACCAAACTTAATACTAGGAATATGCTAATTACATAATAAGACCCTATATTCCTCAATATCTTTTTTTTTTCATATTATATATTGATATTTCAACTGTGGAAGAACCTTTACAAAAGAACTCCATTACAGTTACATGAAAAGTACAGAGAATAAGTACCAAACATCAAAAAATGACGACAAAGATTGGACTAGGAAAAGGATCAGCAGTTAGAGAAAGGTTCTCTCAACCTCAAAGAACTGATAAAGCCAACTAGGAGGACCTGAAGCAACATAAGATTGAAATCTATCCTCCTTGACAACACTTTGAGCAATTAAAGAAGCTCTCCTGTTCGCAACAATCTTTTCCTCCATAACATTCCATTCCCCAATCTTTTCCAAAAAATGAGTTAACTCTGAAACTTGATAAGCAAAAGAGGGCCAAGCAGAGGGCCTGACAAATGCAGACAATAAGTCACCTGGTTCAAAAACAAAGAGAACTCTGGTCATCTTGTGACTGTGCATACTTTCAATCGCCCACCTGACACAATGCAACATCACATCTTTTTTTCACACAAGTTACTAAAGGCCTTTCTGCTATGTAACAAAACCTCTCCAAGATCATTCCGTAAAACCCAAGCACCCCCACATAATCGTTTTTTCCCAGACCAAGCAGCCCCTATGTTGCATTTGAACCAACTAGAAGGAGGAGGATCCCATCTATCCATACCTGGATCATTGAACTTGTTTAAATCTGGATCAACATTCTGAATTTGAGATTGAGCTAGGAACCACTCATGAGTGTCTTCTTTAATCTTCTCTATGGATTTTAAATGACAGAAAATGAGACCATCGAAAAAAATGTTTCTGTTTTTCCACAGCCTCCAAAGAACCCAAGGCCATGATCTTTTTACTTGCTCTGGTACCAACAAATTCTGTTTAAGCTCAAAGAGAAACTGTATATTGGCATAGATTGAGCCATTTTGAAAGCCATTCTCAGGAG